TGTGTATCTGCTGTATGTGTGCAATAATTTTGAACACACTAATCCCTTTGCTAAAGATCAAATCATATAAAACTGATATTGATACAAGTTTCATCTTAAACATTTATCATTGTAAAGCCTAAAATTACACCCTCTGAAAATCAAGTTCACTGTTACTTTTACAGCATTATATAAGTGTTCACAGTTGTTTAATACATATTAAGCTTTGATCCAGACACATTGTGTCACCATGCTTGAAGTCACTTCTATTACCTATATAAGTCTAGACATATTTCAGCAGCTCCGTGGTAGTCTTAAGTCTTAAGTGTGGGTAACATGATCATGGTGTTGCTGTTTTAAAATAAGCATGTTTATTTATTCAAGATATGCCACATATAGTCACACAGTATCAGTTTGAAACTCTATGAGACTCTCCGGACGCTACGCACCTTGTTAAGGAAGTGAAAAAACGGAAGAAGCATGTGACTCACACAACAGGTGAATTGATGTATTGTTTGTGTGTGCGTGTGTGTGTGGAGTGTTTTTGAGAACAGAGAGCAAAGCCAAAATATAAAAGACTAGACTCTACATGTAAATCTGTTTTCTTTGCCTGCTTGCATCAAAATTCAAAACAGTAACTCTTAGCTACGGCTTATTTTTATTTCCTTCATTTTTACAGTGAATAATAAACTGTTTGCAATGATTAATGAAAAAGGGCAAAGGCAAGTATCGTTGCAGACATGTTGCACGACATGACACCACTGCAGTGCATTTTCTCACTTCTTCAACTGTTTCAGGAAGTGGGGCAGAGTCACCAAAATCAGGAAACTAAGGGTTGCTATTAATACAACTGAACAAAGAGCTGTAGCTGGTGAAAGCTAATATAGTCTCAGTTGAAGAGGAAAGGCGCTTAAGTTGACTTCAGAAACCAAAAGGACATGCTTGGGATGCTCCTTGTGGTGTGATTTTGTGCACTTTTGAGGCTTCACAACCATGGAAGAACCCGTCTCGAGTACTGAATTAGGTAATTATGACATTTCTTCTACAACTGTCTTTTTAGTCAGTTCCAGTTGGTGTAAATATACCCGTAAGATATATATTTACATGAAAACAGTTCACTTTACAGGTGGTATTCAACAAAATGGATTACTCTTTTCGAACGTTTTGTGGTCTCTTGTGAAATATGATGTTTATTTGATTCAACTTTCTTTAACCAAACTTTCATTTAAAATACTTTATCTGAGATCATAAAAAAAGAGGAACAAGCATCATAGCCTTCCTGTATGGTTAAATTCATATGTCAGGTACTTTATAATTTCCCACATGCTTAATTTGAACCAGTCATGTTATCGGTTCATTAAGAAACAGATGGCAAGTCTGTCAGCCCTGTCATCAGTGGGAAATGCGATGAAGGTGAAATAGTCGTGTTGGATTTCTTTCACAGTTAGCATGTACAGAGGTGAACTTGACCTGATTAAACACTGTAATGAGTCAAACAAAATTACTCTGACCAGTGTTGACACAGTGCAATGTTTGCACAACTCCTTGTTGGCTCTGCGCTGAAATATCAAACAAATCGGACATTCATTCTCTAACCACAGTCACCTTGACATTTCACAGCCGGACAGCTGGTATGTTGTGGAGCATTTCCCCCGACAAACGCTACCTGCTGCAACATGGAAACCGGCACATAATATGACCAGTGTCATGTCAGTAGTGTAATGTTTGAGCCGATTACAGGATTGTGATTCATTTCACGTGGTTGGGTTGAATCAACAGTGTTTAAGAGGAACTAATGATTAGTATTTTCCAGCTTTGCTAAAGCAATTTTCGGACTGTTTGAATGCACATACTGTACATACTAATCACACTGTAATATATTTTGTTTTTCAGCTAATCCTGAATCATTCTCAGCAGATGAGCTGTTAATTCTGCACACGCCTGATGCACAGGAATGGGCGACGTATTTGCAGCAGATTTTGAACTGCTCCAAAAAATTCCACAAAAGCTCTATTTTGCTCCATGCAGTCAGCCCAGATGATCAGCTTCATGGATATAACTATGAATACTTCCAAAGCTGCAAGTGTATTGTGCTGCTCCTCTCGGGAGCATTGCTGGACATGCTCTGTGACCATGAGCTTCTGGGAGCTCTTCAGACACTCCTTTACCCCCCACACAGAGTGGTGGCACTGCTGTGTGGAGTGACGGAGGACGACATATTAATGGAGTGCTTCGAAGACTGGCCAAGCTGGAGAAAACTCTCTGCTGAGGACGAGCCTGCTGTCTACGTTTCCACCATTTTGGAGTCCATCAGTGACAGTATGCAAAACTTATCACACTTCATAATTTCTTCTGCTGTGCCTTTAAAGACACACACAGAGACACTATTTTGTGGTGTATTCTTATTGTGATATTTATGAAGCTTTTTTCTAAAATTTACAGGTGTTTAAAATACAGACAAGCTACTTTAAAGTAAAGGGTCAAATTACAGAAAGATATATTATCTTAATTAGCTGTAATGCTATTGTGATAAACAGATAGTTTTGGATTTATTTGGTAAAGTTTTGAGTTATCAAAATATTGTATATAATGAGATTAGAGTAGGTTTGACTAGAAAAAAAAACTCATCAGCATTTTGCCTTTTCATAAAAAATGACCTGGTTTATCAAGTTAATCCACAGAACTGGCAGTTTTCACTTGGATTGCTTTTTGTCAAATGCATAGTCCCTGTGAAAGCTGTTCATATAGATATCTGTGAATTATTAAATATTTAGAACAACACAAATGAAAGAACTCTCAGTGGATACCTCAAAGCAAAATAGCAAAATAAAACCAAAACTATCTGCAGAGGTAGGCAGGAAAATGTATTTTTTGTGTGTAAACTAAGCCTTTTAGCCCTTGCTGAATAACTGAAGACAACATAAAACACTTTAAAGCTATTTATAAATTTTAGTGGCCATAGAAGTAAATATCTTTTCATTTAAAGGCATACAAGTGGAGGCTGAATATGAGAGCGAAGCTACAGCTGCAGAAACAGCCGAAGAGTTGCACAACGAGGCAGCCTCTTCAACTGAAAATCCCACCACTGATGAAAATGAGGAAGTGGTGTCAGAAGAGCAAAAAGAAACTGTCCTAGAGGATGAAGAACCAGTGAGCACGGGGAATTCAACAAGTGAGGAAATTAGTACACCCACGCATCTCACCTGTCTCACCGTTCAACCAAACAGAGTTCTGTGCGGGGTAAGACTGAAGTAATTGCATATTAAAAACATCAAAGACAGTATTAGTATGGATCAGAGCTGCTTCCTAGGCGATACCATGTGTGTTATTCAACATTAATTCCCACTTTTTCTAATTTTATTGTGTGAGAGAGATGAGTAAATGCATTTTTATGTATTTCAATTCTGTTACTGCTGATGATTAAAACTTTACCCCAATACTTGTTTTCTAGATATAAACTAGTAATGTCCTAGTCGAAAATACTAAGAAGCCATATTAATTCTATTTTCCCTTTTTCTTTTTTAAGAAATGTGAGACACTCTTTATCATTTTCACGCACAAAGTAGATGATCAGTCGCTACCAGAGGTGGAGTTTTCGTCTGAAAATGTAGCAGGAAAAAGGGTCCCAGCCACTGTGGAGAATGAATACACTATCAGTGTAACTGCACCTGGCAAGTATCTTCAGGAAATCATGTGACCTTAATCTATTTTACAGTGTCCATGGCACGAACTTGAATTGAACTTTAATCTGAAATCACTTTCCTTTCTTTTTTATTTACCTTTGTCTAGAAATGCCTGCTGGAGATGTTTCGCTCACCATGTACACGGACCAATCCTGTGTCAGCTTGATGCCTGTTACATATTATACCAATATGGGAGAAGTCAGTCGGTATCTTGAAAACGCTGCTGATCCTGTTAACTTTATCTGCCAGGTGGGAAATTATGTTATATAGTAAACAGTGGGTGTTGGGTGTTTTGCTCGTTTTAATAGCTTTTGGAGTTATGTAAGTATTTATTTTTTAACTTTCAGGCCTTCAACTTGACATCCAACGCAACAGAATCACTGGACAGAATGCTAACTGACTCGTTAAAATCCAAGATACCTGCAACTGGTCTTCAGCTGTTTGGAATCAGGCAGATTGAAGAAGACAATATGGCGACATGTGAGTACAGTAGTCTGATTTCTTGCTCTATTAATTTCCAAATCTTAAGCTGGCGACAGATCTGCTGTTATTTGTTCCACCTCTGCAATGCCTGTTTGATCTATTAATGTATAGTCATATGAATGATTGTATCTGATTGCTGTTTGTCCTTCAGACCAGCGTGATGACGAGCTTCCTACGCTGCTCCACTTTGCTGCTAAGTATGGCTTGAAGAAGCTGACAACCATTCTTCTTCAGTGTCCTGGGGCTCTGCAGGCTTACAGCGTGATGAACAAATATGGAGACTACCCAAACACGCTGGCAGAGAAGAGTGGCTTCTCTGATCTCAGACAGTTCATGGATGAATTTGTTGTAAGTCCCCTGATAGAGAAAGCTTTTTATTATTTTAATGTAGTATCCAGCAATGTGATAGATATTTTCTTCTGACAGCCAGGTTCTCGTACTGTTGTAGTCACTGTCCTCCTGTCTCTTGTGTTTAAACAAATGTAGGAGACAGCAGACATGCTCAAGTGTCACTTTGAGGACTCCATCAACACAGACGAGAGTGCAGAGGTGTATGAGTTGATGTCAACTAACTCTCAAGATATCATGATGAAGTACTCAGGTTGCTCAGAGGATATATATGAGTCAATGCTGGGGATTGACCCTGAATGTGCAGAGGACCTTTGTAAGATTATTATGATTTTACTTGTTGGTCTTTATAGTAATGAAGCTTACAAAACTGGTGGTTAAAGTGTTGCTGTTGATTCTGTTTTGTTTCTTCAGATGAGGTGATGAGTGCAGTAGACGAGAACCCTGAGGAAGCGATGCTTAGGAAGTTCTTCCAAGGTATACATTTGAATAACTTTCAAAGTACCGACTTTAAACAGTAGCTTGTGTAAAATATTATGTGTAATGCGGTTACGTTGTGTCCTTCAGCTAAACCACAAGCCAGTTTAAACCCAGACAACGAGTACTTTAAAAGTGAGGAAGCGGAAAAAGAAGATCATACTGACTTAGATCTGATTGAAGAAGAGGAGGATCCATACAACCTCTGCCCAGAGGATATCTACGATACTGTAGATGAAAACAGTACCTATAACCCAGTAATCCTGAACCGTCCACCAGCCCCCATCCCCAGACCTGAGACCGAGTCTGAGCCAGAAAAGCCTATGATCTCTAGAGGTATTGAGTTGTCTTTTCCTTCATCAGATTTCATAAAACTGCTAGATTGCACACTAGGCAAAAATAGATAACTCCATATTTCTTCACAGTATTTTCAGATAGAGGTACCTCTGATGGAAGTACAACGATGGAAATGGGATATCCTGCAGGTAAAGAACATAACAATGAGAATCTATTTTATTATTAACACTTGAATGAAATTACCATGATATACCTGAATAATGTCATTGGTTGCTTTAAACCTCAGTATGGAAGGAGCCAAACATCCTTTATTTGATTTGGTAAAATACTATAAAGGTTAATGGAATGCTTCAGTACTTCAGCGTGTTTGTTCAGATTATCACTTGCAAGAGTGTGAATGGCAAACACAATCTCTAAATCTAGACTGTATTCAATCACCAATATATGAACATTGGCACCTTTGCGGTATTATTTCTGTGAGACGCAAAGCTCTGTGTGATCAGTAATCACTTTGCTGTCTAGCGGTTCAGGCTTTTTTATGGCTCATTTCCAAAACATGTAATACTTAGAAAAAGTAGGCATTGCTGACTGAGAAAAAATATTCACATAACTGTCTAGTCCTAATTAAATGTAGGATGATTAGATATTGTTTGTGGGCAGAGGCTCAGATACCTTACATTTATTTTTGATAAAAGTTCTACAAAGAATCAACTGAACTACAGAAATAATTATAATTCAGTCAAAGAAAACTGAGTTATATCTTCTGCAGATTTTCGATGCCTGAAATAAAGATTTCGAAATAAAAAATATTGCCCTGAGATCATTTTGCCGATCTGAATAGTATTAAAGTTTTTCAACCTTTTTATCTGCATGTGGGCGTCATGAATGAAAACGTTTTTTTTTTTTTGTTTGCTGTGCAACTTGTGAGAGGAGAGACAGTCAGTCAGGAGAATTACTGTGGTAAGCTATGTAGCACGGCTGTAATTTTAAGTTCAAAATACAATATAGTTATTTTGATAGGCGTTGGTTAGTGAGCTGACCTTCTAGTATAGGGCAACCTGCAGCTCTGGAGCCATATAACAGTTTCATTTGTCATTGTTGTAGCCTAAAGTCAAGTAAAATGTGCATTGTATTTTACACCCTGACCTGGTGTCTTTGCCTCTATATTTTGCTGAAGCTCAATAGTCGTAGCTACTAGTCTTGAGTTTCCAGTCCAAATCCAAAAAAAGAACAGTCAAACAATAGGGAATTTAAAAGTCTAGTGTGTAACCCAAACCCTAATCACCTGAAATTAAAAATCATTGTTTTTTTGTTACCTTAGAATGAGCTGTTTTTAGAGGGACTGTAATTCTAGTTGTTGAATGACAACATTTTCCACCCATCCAGTTGTGCCTGTGGCGGAGCCCAGCTCTCCTGTTTATGACCCCTATGCTGGGATGAAGACACCTGGACAAAGACAGCTCATATCTCTGCAGGAGAGGGTAAAAGTGGGGGAAATTACTGTGAATGAGGCCGTCCAAGAGTTCAAGGCCTGGCAGTTTGACCATGAGCGGAGGGCCAACTCCATACGCTATCAGCAGGTAGATGTACAAACTATACAAACTTGACGGTCTGTCAGATGCTGATTGGTACTCAAGGAATGGCTCTAACGTGTGTCTGTGTTTCTTTCTTCAGGAAAATCTCAAAAAATTACGGGACAGCATCACCAGGCGTCACAAAGACAGACAGAAGACAGGAAAGGAGATTGGTAAAATAATTTTAACCTTTATTGTTTTTAAATGTATTATATTTATTTATAATGGCTCTAAAGCAGCTTTAATATATGTCTCCACGATGCACTGACTATACATGTATCTTACAGTTATATGATTATACATTTTTTAGGGGTAGCATACAGTGGAAAATCACTTCCTGTTGTTTTAAACAATGCTAATATTTGATGTGGTCGCTCCCTTCGTAGATTATGAGATCAGTGCTCCGATGCAGAGGAACTTATACTGGGGCTCCAAGGTGACTTTAGAGTGCTCTGTGTACGAACCAGCACCTAGAACGGTGGCTCCGCCTCCCCCTCCGGTCGCTCAGGCTATCCAGAGAAGCACCTGGAAGACAGGTAGCACCTCAAGCACGTCTAGTGAGTTCTAATGCTTTTTTTATTTGTTTGTTGTTGTGTTTTTTTCTGCACAGTGGCTCAAAACTGTAACTAAACAAGAAAGAGCAATGTTCAGGTCTACCTCAGTCAACCTTTTCCATACATCACTTTTAATATGTGGCTAAAGAAACTTAGGATGCAGGCGAATAAATAATACAAACATAGTGGCACTTGGACGTATTGGAAACACCAATATTTGTAGCTCTTGAAACTTTTTATGAAAAACATTTTAAGTTAAATCCAGTGGAATAATCCAAAACTAGATTAAGTAGTGAACTTTAACTTTAACTTAAAGGTTTTTTTTCATATAGCAACCAGAGGGATGTTTGTGAGTAAATACATTTCTTCTGACTTGATACGAAATAACATTTTAGTTGTTATTCCCGTGTCCTCCACGCCCGTCTGGTTGCCAGAGCCTAGAGCCTACCTTTGCAAATAATGTAATAGTGTAATGGAGGAATATTTCCTCCCATTACATTAAGCTTCCTTATTCTGTTTTATTGGAGAACATTGCCATTCCTTTCTCTGAATGTCTTTAATCCATCGTTCCGACCGTTCTGAGTTGATAATAATAGTTATTCTCAAAATACTGGGACTTTGATATATGTGCTGTCAGTAACCTGGATGGGGCATAGTTGCAAGAAAAACATGGATTTCCTAGAAGTAACATCTCCCGTAATCAGAAACTTTAGTCCTGCTATGACTGTGTGCCCTTTGTATGTATCTGTTCACACTTCCCCCCTTATGAATGTAATAGGTGAAATGTAAATTAGATCAAATGAAATGAAAGATCAGGTAACATAAATTTCCTTTGACCTCTTATTGTTTTCTCTTAACATTCACAGATTAAAACCATTCATAGACTAAAATATTCATAGACAAAATTACGCAACAGACTTCCTGACAACTCTCCTGTGAGATAACCTGCTTCAGTTCTTTTCTGTCTGTTCCAAGATAGAAAACTGGTCTAAAAATTGTAAAATGTATCAAATAAATATCAGAAATTAAACCTTTGAGTTGACATTTATGGAGACACAGAACAACAGTTTCTCTCTTGCAGCTTAGCAAAACATTTCTTATGTTCTAGAAGAAACAGAAATTCCCCACAGTCAAATTACGGCTTGACAAATTAGGGTTTTTTGTTAAAAATAGACTCTTGAAGATAAGATCTGGCATCCTCTTATCAGAAATTCTTAAAACTTATATTGTTCATTAAGAGGTTTTTTTTAGTCCTTTTATGTTGTGTACGGAAATTGTACTGCTGTTAAGTGTGAATTCTAGATTATTTGTATGTTTTAGGAACAAACACTGTGCATTCAATGGTACTGATATATTTACAGACTTTGAAGAATTTACTAACAGCCTCATGATCCTCACATTTAGTCTTTCTATTTTCTGCAGGCATCTGTGTTTAATCTCGCTCTGATCGCTCATACCTCTCCCTGCAGACTTCAAGTACAACCCCTGTATAAGTGTCTTTGTTGTGAGACACAAAAAGTTATTTTCATCTACATTTGGTGAAGTGGTCTTATGGCATTCATTTCAATTCACCACAAGCACTAACCTCAGGGACACTTTAGATCACGTGTTTTCTTTCCACATTAACCCGTTTTTTTCTTTACATCAGGTACAGAGAGCAACAGACTCAGCACTCACAGCACTTTTAGTTTCAGCAGCGGGACCGAGCCCGACTTTGAGGTGAGCCCGAATTAACAAGAAGACAATCTGCATTGCTTGTCAAAACAAGAATCTTCACACAGACTCATTCCCTTTTAAATACATTTTACAGTTAAGACGCAACATGCTGCTTCTATTACTGCCTTAGTGCCTATAAACCAAACTGAACCTTCACTTTCTTTTGTGGTACTGCATATGTCCAGCCCCTGTCCTCCGCACTTCTAACACGCATGATATAAATACACGTATAGAGGTAGAGGAAGAGTCTAGTGTTTCATCTGTAGTCACTGGCTACTTCAGTTCTTCAGTTCCTAAAATATTCACAAGTACAAGTAGATCTACTTTCAGAACTAAATTGTTTGAGACTCAAACTCAAGGGCCACATTTTTTTCTCTTGTGAAATCTTTGAAGCTCCACACACATTGCTCAATGGTTTCTCAGAAATCACTTGGCAGAACTGTGATGGGCAAACTTAAATTTTGACGCTCTTATTGAAACCCCTTACTCATATTGTAAGGGTCTTATATCTTGTGAAGCTAGATAGGCCTGCAACTAACAACGGTTTTCTTTCTGCTGATTTTTTTTAATTAATTGATGAATCATTTGGTCTATAAAGTGTGTTGAATCATCAAAATCGTTTTTTTTTTCTCCTGCTGATCCACTAATTGATTAATTAAGTATATATAATTTTATATTTTCAAGTGTTTTAGGTGTTGTAACAATAATTTTTTTGCTTTTTAAAGGACGCATTAGAAAATGTCCCTCCGCCACCAAGACCTCCACGGCCGTCTGATTCTGCATCAGTCATCACTCCACCCAGGATTCCTCCACGAGTCCCAGAACGGTCAGTTTAAAGACTCATGATTGAGTTTACTGCAGTAAAATACAGCACTGAACCACGTGACACAACACAGGTGTATATAGAACAACATGATGTACATGTAAATATATCGTACTGCAATGCAGCAACACCTAATCTCAATTATAATAGACATATAGATATCATGTGTTAGAATGAAGAAACAGAGAGACCAATAAGGAATCTGCAGGCAGTGGTGAGCGAGACAGTAGATGATACAGAGGAAATGTTCACCCACCAGTGATTCACAGCTGTGCATCAGGGAGGAAGCCAATACGAGAAAGTGATAAAGGTGTTGATGTTGTGCATGCTGTGTAAACTTATAAATATCTACCACACACAGAGGTGAGAGCACGCGCTGAGAACATTTTCTTAACCAAACATCAGGAAGATCAGCTGTTTGATTTTTAATTGTAACCAAAGTCTAAGTCTAAAGCACTAAAGTCAGTCTGATGATTTTCAGTGATAGACGTCTTATCTCTTTAAAATGTCACGCAGGAAAAAGTACAGTTTGTACTACAGCATACCAGTTATAAGCTCTAATATACCTTTAGCTTATATATATATATATATTATATATATATATATATTTATCATAATTTACTCTACATATCAAGTTGTTTTTCTTGTTCATGTTGCTGTTTCTGGATGAAGAATCTTACTTTTTTGTGAATAGTAAAGTTTTTTAAGTCTCTGAAATCATAAGTCCTAATATAATTCTGTGTTTGTGTTAGAAAGGATGACATTTTCTGTTCAGTTACAATATAAATACAGCAGAGCAACAGGGAAATATGGTCATTACATGTCTAGGGCCTGTGATATCAATGTGTGAATCAATGTTGAAATCCCCACAATGAGTTCATCATCGGCCAAGTTTATCAAAGCAGCTCAAAATGTCGTCAAGATGGTTCAAAGTTTCAATAGAGTTTTTATAGACTTAATAATAATTTAAAAATAAATGTAAGGGTCATAATATTGAAAAAAGAAACACCTTACACCATAACAAGGTGCTCCAAGTAGTGTCCACCTGTGTGGGGTTATTTTGTTGTTGTACAGTGAGATCTTCTGAAGAAGTGTGCACTTTTTTTCTAGTGTCTGGTGAGACCGTGGGAAACAACTTGTCGGTTCTACTGAAAGAAAACACTGCCTATTGATTGAGGGGATTTTGTGTGTTTTTGTTTTTTATCTATACAGGACAGTTAAACACAATATCCTCAGTGAAGTGAAGACATACAATGAAATGTATTTTATGTATTTTACACAACAAGCAAATTAAATGCACAATCTTTTAGGGAATGACCGTGCCACGGTAATGTAAAATTTATGTGAAAACAGGTTTGTAGGATTTCAGTTGCTACAAAACCAAACCACAGTGACTGTGCGCAATCTGTGGACGGAAGAACTTGCTGCCACAGAAGAACTAAAAAACAACCAACTATACAGCAAAAACAAGACAACTACATAAAGTGAAAGCGACAAAACACTACGGATGAACCTGCTTTTGATTTTCAAAAACAGATCTGTACATTTAACTAAAGTTACTCTGTGACTCCACATAACTAAAATACAACAGTAGCTGAATCCAATAATGAAACTAAACTGAACTCCTCTAGCTACCTAACTAGCTTAGCAGTGTAGCTGTAACTACCATCTCTAACACCACTCTTGTTAGAATTCATGTGATTTGTTGTCTTTTAGCTATTTTCCTTTTTCTAATTGCACATTTAAATGTATTTAAATTGTAAATTAATTTATTATATTTAGTACAAACTCTTACATTTGTTCAAATGAATGCTGAAATAACACATTTTGTTTTAAGAGACTAAAAACTTCCATAAAGTGAAAGCAGTATCTGCATTTTTAGGTATTCTGTAGGTTAAATTAAAATTATTTCTGTGGGTAAAATATATATATTTTTTTTATATGTGACACAGTTTTCCCTCCAGCCTAAAAGCATTTATCCCTTCATCTTAACTAATTGCTCAGACAAACTACATATAACTAATCTGATTTTATTTGACATTTGGTTACAATGGTTAAACACTAGTTTCAGTATCAGGATGTTTATGTGATTATTGCTTCTGGGGTTTTTTTTTCTGCTGATAACGATGATATGAGGGCACACTTTACCCACCCTTTACTGTATATTTACGTCAGAGCCGATGTCTTTACAGTGCTGTCTGCTTCTCGTAGGGTGCCAGAGAAGATGCTGAACGAGCGCTACATATCCTGCCCAACCCGAGCACTTCCTAAAAGACCAACTCAAAGACACATGAACTCAGCACCCCCCGTGCCTCGCCGCCTGCGGTGATAGACACAAGTCTGCTCTTGCTGGGTGTAGTTTCTAAAGTTATTCTTGTGTTTTTAAGATGAATGAAAGAGTTGGAAAAAAAAAGCCAGTGACTTCCTCTGCAAACAATTATTTTTGCTTTTATTCATTTTATGTATCAGAATCTGTTCCCATAACATTTCACTGTGTGTGTGTTGGTTGTGTTGAGAGAGAGAGAGAGAGAGAGAGAGAGTGATGTTTATGTTGTGGTATGTTTTTCAGTGTGATATTTTTTACTTGTACTTACTCCGGGACAATTAAACAATTTACCGTGATAAAAGTATACCGACCAGAAGATATTACAAGTTTAGAGTATTTTCGTTTGTTGTTGAAAAAAGAGAAATAATAAGTTTTGTCTTTATTATGATATTTAAACATGGTTGTTGGTGGGTCTGCTGTAAAGTTAGCAGTGACGTTGTTGTTCAGCTCACCAACGAAATGTATGATTGTGTTATTAAGTGCTTAATTGATTAGTTGTTATGACATTGTGTTCTACTTATTTTACCTCAAATAATGTCAGCATTATAATTCTTAAAGAACTTCCAAGTTTATTCTGTAATTTCTTTCTTAAATTTGGAGAATTCTTGCATGGATGGTAAAATAACCTTTAGAAAGTGCCTTTAGACCTAATGTAACTTCTGAATTTTTTAATGAAATATATAAATATGTTCCCTTTATACACTTTGAATGTGTCCTTTATTTGAATTGGCTCCTTTATAACCAGCATTGATTCACTTCTTGTGCAATCTGAGGTTCGGTCACTTGGTGGTGCTTCATACTCTCTCTCTGTCCGTTAAAGGTGGGCTCCACTTACATTTTTTCCATGTTTGTGAAAACCATTTCCAAGTTGAATATTGAGCATGCAGCAGTTTAATCAAATTACAAATGACTTCACGCATATGAATAGAAATGAACCCTGACTGCCAAAAACTGTCTCCTCTGAAGTTCCAGGAGGAAAGACACAAAGTGTGAGAGACTGCAGCCGGACAGGACTTCAGCTCCAAACTTTCAAAGTAAAATCTAGTAAAAAATAATAATATATTTAATCTCTATTTACAATTACAAGCATGTTTAATTAATTTTATGATTCACTGTAAAGATTTTTGGATTATAATCCTCTGCATTTTTTTCTGTGTTTAAAAAAATGAAAGAAAAACTAATAATTTCTATCTTCATTCTTTATTCTTCATTCAGTTTTCCAGTCGGTAAGGATGGTTTTTGTTTTTATTGTATGAATTGGCTGTTTTAGTTGAAAGATGGAAACTTGCATAGACATTTAAAGGATCTTGTTTTTGTTTGTTTGTATTCTTTGGCAATCACAATACGTTATCAGGGGCGTCCTGGTCACCTGGTAGAGCTGGTGTCCTTGCTTTGTACTGTTACCTCACAGACACTGTGGTTTGCCTCTTCTCAAATGTGGTTGAGTGGTTGTTACAACTTATTTAATGTTCTGATCTGACAGCAGGAGCTTATAAAGCGAAAAATAGTCGGAAAAGAAACTGAAACACAATTGAGACATGCACTGAGTTAAATCAAATTAAATATAAAGATATTAGGCTCATTTGTAATATTCTACACATGGAATATGCAAAATGTTATGTTTCAATGTGCCAAACACACAAAAAATTTCTATTTATGGGCACAAATATTTTAAAAGCAAACAAATCAAACTTTAAGTTCATCAACAGAAACATGACCTCTAATGACTGCTAAAGTTAACTAATTGCTATTAGCGATGCACTTAAAGCAGCAACAAGGAA